TTATCTTGCATGTAGTATCTTTGTTAAATCATTCAACTAAAAAGAATACTTTTTCTTATTTCATTCTGTTTTAATGGACTGTGTACCACCTGCAAATTGGTCTTCTTTCCTTCTAAGACTGATGGTAAAAGCAGGAAGACTGTATGCATTTCCAATTCTGGAGGTAGCTAAACACTTCGGATGAAGTCAAACAAGATGTTCTTGGTTTTGATTTTATTCAGTACAAATTACTAATCCAATGAATCCATTTCCCCAAATCCTTATTATGGATTCTAAACTTTCAATTATTATTAAAAACTTTTTGAATTCACTTGGCATATCAGAAGTACATTCTCATTATTTCTGTCAAAACTGAATGATTGTTTTCCAGATGACTTTTGGAAAATGATACAACAGTTGAAAATACTTTTCTTTGGGCTTTTATTTTGGAGTCTGTTTCAGACCAAAAAAATATCTAACCCTGATGTGAGCAAACACTACAGGAAGCTCCATAAAAGTCATTCCAAACACAAAACCCTTCTAAACAGCAATCCTTGTATCAGATTGGTTATCAAATATATCTTTTTGCTATTGTCTCAGGCTGAATTTCTCAGATTAGCTGAAGGCTGAACTCACATTTGCTAAAATGCAAATGAGAAGATTCTATGACATCATTTTGTTCTTTCTTCTAACAGGAAAGTTTAAATTTACTCATCTAAAACTTTAAAGTAATAAGTTAGAACTAAATTTTATGTTTCCTTATAAATTCTGATTCTTGAGATTAAATATAGCCAGAATCCCCTACTGGTTACAGCTTTAATTTTGGGATTCTTAAGGGTTAGAAGTCCTGTGCTCAGCATTTGTAAATCTCTCTTTACCACACTGGCTCAGGCCCTCTGGGCTTTTCCATCTGGAGAAAGACCCAACTAGGTCTGCACCACACACCTCCTCACTCTTGAGCCACAACATCCCATTTGACTTGAGATCTCATTTCTAAAATATATCAGAGGGAAAACAGGAGGAAAGTATTTGTCTCTCCAGGGTCTCCTCCTTTATTCTATGTCCTGTCTGGTCTTGTTTGCATATCAAACTGACAAATGTCTCAGGACCCATCTGATTATAGCACCTGAGAAGAAAATAAATTTTAAGGAGGGATATTCTCCCTCCACTT